GAAAGAGCAGAAGTGACACTGAGGGCTTCCAAGACCTGGACTCCCTAGGGGAGTAGAAAGCCGCATCTTTCTCCCTTAGTGCTAGTGTTAGTATGGTGTTGTTAGGTGCGATTCAGTAGGCTTTGACTCAAAGCAACCCAATACACACAGAATCCTCACAGTTGTTCCTCTCCCTGAGTCCACTGAAGCATACACTGCGTCAGTCCATCTTGCTGAGAGCCTGCCACTTTTTTACTGCCCTTCCACTTCTACAAAATATGATGCCCTTCTCTAGGGACTGGTCTCTCCTGACAATATGTCCCAAATATGTAAGACAAAGTCTTACCATCCTTGCCTGTAAGGAGCACGCTGGCCTTCCTTCATACAGCACTAGCACAGATTTATTACTTTTTTAGTGATATACTTCTTAGCATTCATTTGGATTATGGAGAAACCTTTTAACTGTCATGAAAATGATTTAAGAAGCCAGAGCTTGCATAGTTACCAATACTGTTGCTATGCTCAATTAGGATTTAAAATGAACTTCTTAAATTGCATACCTACCCCAATAGCATAGTTCTTATTAGGGTAGTCTGTGGAATCTTCATACTCCTCAGAGTACTTATACCATGACTTGAAAATCAAGGTATTGTTAGAAGTGGAACTTCAAGGATAGTGGAATCCACTTTGAAATAGAGTAGATAAGAGAATACAGACTGAAAAAAATTTAAGTTCATAAGAGAGGCAGACCTTAAATATATCATATATACCTTTAAGAATTTATCTCATCAATTCTGTAGGGAGGGATAAGTATATTTGTATACCAAAATTACAAAGGCCCCAATCTTTCCAGGTTCTCTTCTGTTGTCCTTCTTACACCCACTCCTGCTTTAATGACCAGTTCTGTATCTCTATACCTGACTGGGAGAATGTTCAAACTCTCCTGGTGCCATTCTGGCAGTAACCAGTGTGTTAAAGGAAATCAGTCTGGCTCTACCTGCAGTCAGAGTCAGACATTCAGCCCATCTTTGCTTTGTGGATACATGTGTAGAAACCATGCACTCTCTAACCTCATCCTATAACAACAGCCAAGATGAAGGTATCTTCTGATAAAGGTGACTTTAAGATGTGACAAGATGATCGAAGTTGCTTTTTCCAGTAGCGTGCCACATCCACAGAACCAACACGACATGCCTGCAGTTCTTGTTTTCCGTTATGACCATTTCATTAGTAGTCTTCAAAATGAATCCCTAACAAAAGAATCTTATTTTAAGGAATATTATGTCTTCAAAGAAGAGTGAAATATAGCGCCTCTCTTCCTAGACCAAGTTCATAGTCAATTGAGAAATAAGAAAAAGTATTACGGCATGTGAAGTTAAAAATGATCACCATTGTTAATGGTAAATCTGAATTGAAGACAAGCCTTCTATATGTGATCAGTACACTTCCTAATATTGAGCCCCAGTCATGGGCAAGGCAGAGGAGAACATGTGTTCCAGGCTAGCAACTTGCTCCCAAAAGAAAGGGAAGCAGAAAATGGGCTATAATTGCCATTGCCTTCCGAACACTCTCAATTAGACTAGGTCATTCCTCTAACCCTAATAATTTGGAATTCCAAATATGAAAATATTTGGAAAATATTTAGAGAATCTATTTTCCTTTTTCATCCAAGTATTTGTTAAGAAGAGAAAAAGAAAACCATCCTCCATGCAGTTAGAAATTAAATTAGGCCAATTGTTTGCCATAGGAATGTAGCATAATACCAGAGTATCTTTTGAGCAAGTACTAAGTTACAGGTATAGTTCATTGATACAGCTCTAAACTAAGTATGCCAAAATGTTGTTTTTAGTTACTCTGTTTATTCCATTCATGCCCTTCTTTCCAGCTAACTAGAAATATACACGATCTAATGCTATCATTAACACTGCCTCTTTCTATGAAGGTGCTTAGAGTTTATATCAAAGGAAATCATTGTTTTGTTTTCTTTTGTTGCATTGTTTTTGCTCTGTCTTGTTTTTTGTGCATATTATTATCTCTGCAGGTCTATGGAGATAAGATAGGCCGGATAAACAAGCTGGAGGAGAAAA